CATTGGTGACCTTTGGTCCTCGACATTTTGATCTTGTTATATGACATTCTGGACTACTATTTCGGAGACCTACCGGACTCTATCTTGTGACCTATCGGTGTGATCGACCTCCTACCTCCTTCGTCTCTCCTCCCACCTTTCATCTGTGTATGTGTGTACGGGATCTGGGTATCGTCTGTGAATAACCCAGACCCCACCATCTCATGATTGTATGTGTGTGGAGTGATGCCATGTAGGTCGGTCTATGTGAGTCAGTCTATGTGAGTCAATTCGTTATCAGACTTCCGCTGCATAAATGCTCATCCTATATTGGTTGATCTTTGGTTCTGCCCATACTCATTGAAGTATGTAACACCCAGCCATGCAACCCCTGTTTTTTTCTTTGAGTGAATATTTCCCCCCCACCGCCGCACCGTGCGGGTCCACTCATGCGCCAAACGCGCGGAATTTTCCGCATGGCGTCTGCTTGGATGTATGGTTGGTAGATATGTGACAACATATATGCACAATATCTGTCAGTATATACAATGCATAGATTGTCTCAATATCGTTGGCAGGTTGGTGTTAGCTTTTTCAGCGCTGTTGTCATGATGTTTGCTGAACGTTTTTCGATACTTGAAATGTATGTTGAAGAGATGTGACTTGGTTGGCCATTCGCCTGCTGGTGTGCAGGTTCTACGAATGCTTTTGCCGCCACACTGCCTGAGACATTGGACATTGACGCTGCGCAAGTACTGCAAAGTTGTGGGGATGAGACTGTCGAGCCGGATTCTGTACCATTATACTGGACAGGGAGCGTAAGAGCTTGCCTAGATTCCAGGGAGATGTTAGTGTCTGGCAGCTACACAGTCCAGTCACCTGCAATCAGGAGGTTTACTGAAGGAGGTGATTGAGAACTTCTGCCATATCATAAAAAAAACAAGGCAAACTATGTGTGTCTGTTTTTTTCTGGAAAGGTCAGGCTCTAGGAGTTGGCATTGGGAGCAGAGGGGCGGTCCTGGCACCCTCAATCACCTGGGTTATCGACAAAGCTCATGGAAGGGATAGTTATACCCGCGGAGGACGAACTTGAGCCCTTGGCAACCAGCACGTTTACTTAAGGAGGCCATCCACTGACTAGCGTGCATGTCTCATGAGATGGGGTTCTGGAAGAAGTAGGTTTCATATTTCCCTAGTCATTCTGGAAGAAGTAGGTTCTGAAATTGGACATGGGGAGCAGGGGATGTCCAGGCAGTGACGTCTCCTAGGGCTATGGATTGACAGATTGGAGGGAGACTTGCGCTCTCAAAAGATTGCATTCGACAGGATTTGAACTCCTGACCTGTGCATGGAAATCGGAGAGGAGTTGCTCTACTGAGTAGTTGTACTAAGCTGTGGATTGGTGGTGTCAAGCAGGGGTTGGACCTACGTACACACCATCTTTCCTTCAGCAGGCATGCTGGTACAGTCCAAAGCATACTAGGAAAAGCTGGAGCAAGTGCTTGAGATGGGCTCTCGAGCGATTCGGGGAGCATCCATCAGCAGATTGGGGGGGGGGGGGGAGTTATTGGCAGGCAGAGCATGTCCCAGCTGCAGGGACTTCTCTACCAATTCGGGGAGCATCCATCATCAGATGGGGGGTTGGGGGTGGGGGTGGGGGTTAGGTTCTTGGCAGGCAGAGCATATCCCAGCTGCAGGGACTTGTTAATACTTGAGAGGAATGAAGGCATGCCTGTTATGACAGGCAGACAAGGACAGAGCCTGTGGACAGGTATCTTTGACAAGCAAAAAGAGCGGGCATGTGCATTTTCTTTCTTTCTGGTGCGCATAGATGATACATGGTTTGGGTGTGGCTTACACCTCACACCCTCCTAAGTAATGATAAAAATTATGTCACCACTCTCACCTTCATGACTTTGTGCGATTGATGCATCCATCCATGGAGGTGGGGTGGTTGGGTCTAAGCATGTGCTCCCAGCAGGTGGTCGCATTCGAGAACTTATCACAATTCTCATGGCACGCAGCTCTCTTGCCATATTGGAGGAATCCTCCTCCAGTCTATATGCCACTCTCTTTCTTTCTTTCCTTTTTTTCCCGTATGCCAGTTTCTCCCAACTGTAAGACCCAAGCAACTAAACACAGGTATTACACGTACTGGGCAGGGAAGATAACAGAGCAGTCGCATGGTGAACTCTCCCATATGAGCTATTATTTGCTGCACTGCTGTGACCCCCCGTTGTGATTTCCAGCACCACTTTGCTTCCTCGCTCCCATGGTCTAGGGTGATGAGGGTCCTTGAGAGATTTCCCATGAGTGTGCCATGGCGAGCGTGGTCTGATGGTTCTAACTTTTTTTATGCAGTGTAATTCGAGTTTTGACCAGGAACACAAACTGTCTTTTTGGAAAAGATAGCTGCGCTGCTGCGGTAAGCTCTTCTGACCATCCCATCCTGACACATTTGTAAGGACACTCGCACAGGCCACATGCGCACCTTGTGGACCAAGTATAAACCACGATTCCCCCCGAGAACAAAAGAATGATGCTCCGAAGAGTACACCACAACCACCGTTTGGGAGGGCCGGAAGGGGGTTACGGGCTACTGGCGTTGACGATGTTTCATGCTCGTTATTTTCTGCAAAAGAATGTAAAAAATATCAGGGCTGTAGCTAGGCTACCAGAGTGACACCGGACCACTTGCACGGCCGGGCCAAAATAAAAAATAAAAGAAAACAGTTTTATTCTGGGTGGGGTTCTGGGCCGCCCGGCGGACCGGCGGGGGCTCGGGGGGGGGTCCTGGGCGGCCTGGCCGGGCAGTGCACCCGGTCGGTCCCCGGGCCCCCCCAACGCACAGGGTATTTTGGGGTTTTTCGGGGGTTTTAGACCCCTTTTCGAAGGCTGGTGGGCTCCCGCAGGCCTACCGGGTCCGACCGGCCCGAAAACCCGCAGCATCGGGCCCGATAGGCCTGCGGGAGTGGGTTTGAAAATTGCGGCGGGTCTGTGGCCGTTGATTCGTCGTCGCCGTTCACAGGAGCTCGTCTTCCTCGCCCACCGCTCGTCAGCTGGAGCCGGTTGTCGTCGCCCGTCGCCATTTGCAGGAGCCGCCCCCTTCGCCCGTCGCCGTTCGCAGGAGCTGCCGCCATTCTTCTTCTTCTTCTTCTTCTTCTTCTTCTTCTTCTTCTTCTTCTTGTGTTCCGTGGACGTTGGTTTGGTCACGCGAGACTCGGAAGGTAAGAAAAACAGAAGGGAGGCCGTCAGGCACGTCGAGCCTTCCCCTAATCTTCTTCAGGCCGTCAGGCACGTCGAGCCTTCCCCTCTTCTTCTTCTTCTTCTTCTTCTTCTTCTTCTTCTTCTTCTTCCTCCTTCCCTCTTCCTCCTCTTCCCTCTTCCCTCTTCCTCTTCTTCTTCCCTCTTCCCTCCCCCTCTTCCCTCTCCCTCTTCCCTCTTCCCTCTTCCCTCTTCCCTCTTCCCTCCTCCTCCTCCTCCCTCTTCTTCTTCTTCCCCAAGGCCAAGGACACAATTCTTCGACACAGTCGATCATGGTATTGTGTATAGTATCATCCAGATAAAGCGACCATATGCTCGGCCGAACCAATCAACCGGATTGGAATCTGCGCGTATTTATTTTATTACTACGAAGTTTCGTCTCCGCTCGAAACTTACAGGCACAGACTTAGTGCCATTTGGCCAATTAAGATCAAAGAAAGTAGTAAACTAATGACCAAATACACACAAATAGGTGCAAACTCCATAAACCAATCACACCTTGTTTTGTGAGTAGAATAGATAGTCACCTATCATACGGCTCTCTATTCTACTTGCTCCTTCTTCCGCCTCCTTCCTCCTCCTCCTTCCTTCTTCTTCTTCCTTCTTCTTCTTCCTCCTCCTCCCTCCTCCTACTTCCATCTTCTTCCTCCTCCTCCTGGACGAAGGCGAGGGTGACACCTCGGACTTAGTGTGTGTGCAAAGGCTTAGTGTTGTGTGTGTGTGTGTGTGTGTGTGTGTGTGTGTGTGTGTGTGCTTTTCAAGTGCAGAGAGAGAGAGAGAGACAGACAGACAGACAGACAGACAGACAGACAGACAGACAGACAGACAGAGACAGAGACATAGAGACAGAGAGAGAGAGAGAGACAGAGAGAGAGAGAGAGAGAGAGAGAGAGAGAGAGAGAGAGAGAGAGAATGTGGATCGATATTGGCCATATGCCGCTGATATGCTGCTAAAGAACTCGAAGATTTCCTGCAAGTTGTCAGTCTTCGTCTTCTCGTCAGTGTTCTTCTTGTTCTTCTCGTCAGTCTTCTTCAATCTATGTCAGTGTCGTCAATATGCATGCAGCAGACATCACAGCAGCAGGCAACAAACATGCAGAGCCCCCAACACTGCACATATCAGATGACCTGCATTCATCATTCAGCAGGCAACATGCATGCAGAGCCCCCCCC